TCCCGCAGGGTACTGTTTTGGGACATCTCCTTTTTATAATTTATATAAATAAGATGCTAATGTTGGACACGGGGGGTTTAACTATTTCTTATGCTGACGATACTGTACTTCTTTTTCCAGGTTCTAGTTGGGAGGATGTAAAGTGTAAAACAGTGTATGGTCTAGGTATGGTAAAAGACTGGTTACAGGAGAGTAAACTAACATTGAATTTATCTAAGACAAACTGTATTGCGTTTTCGATGACCAATAAAAACAGACCAAATTACAGCACTATTGTGTTGGATGATAATTACTCTGTTAAGGAAGTGTCTCAAACTAAATATCTTGGAAACATTATTGACCAATATTTAAAGTGGCAGCCGCATATTGATTATGTATCGAGTAGAGTTAGAAAATTAATCGATAAAAAAATATAATAACAGTTTATAAAGGATTTGTTGAATCTATAATTAGATATGGGATATTAAATTAGTATGGGGGGATTGTAAAATAATGCTCTACATAAACTCATTATTATTCAGAAATATATTATTAAAATTATTTTTAAGAAAAAGATAAAAGATTCCCCACTAATAAACTTTTTACAAAGGATGTGTATAATATTAAATCCTTGTACGTGATGACAGTATCTAGTTTTATTTATAGAAATGAAAAATTACAGAAACAAGTAAGTCATAACTACTGTAGGTACTCGTGCAAATGTGGGCAGGCAAATAGAAATTCCCAAGAATAACAATAACCTAAACTTAAGATACATAACATATATAGGACCAAAAAAAATATTAATTCATTTAGCACCAGCTGCAGAGAATATATTTTTGAGAATGCTGCACAATTTGAAAGGTTTTTCTAATGATTTTTTGTAGCATAGTATGATTGAACAATTGTTCGGGATATTGAGGTTGATTATTGTTTTGTTTTTGTATTTTATAATCAAAATAAATAGCATTTTCTTTTCATTTGTAAGTCCGGATAATGAAAGCACATACAGGTGGTTTGAACCATCTATATGCATCTTTCTGTCATCAGAGGAATTATATTGTTGTGTTATATCTTTATGTGTATTTATAATTTTTATATGGTCTTTGATGGATGTTATTGTTATTAAATAAATAAATAAATTTTATCTTTGTTTTTATCTACCTTTGTTAAAATATTATCTCTTAATTGTTGTGAAGCTGAGTAGTACAGGTATTTTTAGTTATTTCCCTTTCATTTACTAGTGTTAAGCATAAAAAAATGCCTCGAGTTCGAAGACGTCCAAATTATCACTATGTAAACGACTTTGACAGGGGTAGAATTATTGCCCGAGATGTTGGTTTGTCCTATCACGATATTAGCCAATGTGTTAATTGTATTGCAATAACGGAAATGCGGGTCACTTTAGGTCTATTTAATATCATTAACACGCAAAAATAAGGTGGTAGACAAGGACCAGTCGATTGAGGCGCTACCACCGCTAGCTTTTGCCAGGGTGTCGTATAAATGTCCGCATGTTTCCACACCTAAGCTATGCAGTCGGTTATCTTCCAAAACAAAGAAATTAATGATACGTGGATCCCTCGAGTATTGAAAATTCCGGGCGTAAACTCGCTCCACTCTCGGAATGTCCTGGTGGATGGTGGACTCGAGGGAACTACATCGACGATAAAATTTGTTTCACAAACATCTGCGATTAACAGCAACACTGATGCTGTTCATCACTACTTGCAATCCAGTCGTCCCGTCATGCCTTTCTTGGCGGAAACCAAAATCTCAGAATCTGCACCGATTAACCAACTTAGCTTCTCAAATTACAAGGTGCACTCCAATCTGAGAAAGAACGGGGGAGTTGTTGCTTTTGTCCGCAGCAGTCTTTCCTGCTTCAGAGATGTTTCTTTGGAATCAGAACAGAAGGACATTCTGTTGCTTCGCCTCAACTCCAAAACATCCCCCAAATTTATTTGCTGCCTTTATCGCTCTCCCTCGGACCATAACTGGGTTGTCCTACTTAAATACCTGGCCGGCAAGATCGACTTCCTGAACATCAATCACCCCGCTTCAGAGGAGTTCTCCTCGATGAGTTCAATGCCCATAATGAGCTTTGGTTGGGCTTTAACAAGACCGATGCAGTAGGTTGTGCAGTTGTTGCGTTCGCTCTTACTCAAGAGCCCTATTTTCGCAAAATTTGCCATTACGGACATGTCGACTGGGAGGAGCTCAGAGACTTCTTCTCTACCTTGCCTTGGAGAGATGTCTGTTTCACTGATGCGGGTGCGTCGGCTGTCTGTTCTTCGATAATCGAAATACATCCCTGATACACTGAAAGTGCCTGACGGCTGGCTTAACAAATCGTGTGACACTGCTCGCCAGCAGAAGATCAAGGTACACAGAAGCGGTACGCAATGCCAAAAACCAGCACGATATAAAAGCTAGGCACAGGGTAATGTCACAGCGCAATGGCACTCGGTCTTTCTGGACGCTAGCCAAGCAGATTGAAAAGAACTTCTCACACAGTAGCCTTCCACGACTTACGTGTCAGGATGGAAAGGTTGTATCCGACTCAAAAGCCAAGGCTTAAGTGCTTGCCGAGATCTTTGCTGCCAACTCCATCATGGACGTCCCCCTAACGACCAAGTGCCGTCAAGGTAATATTCAGGTATAAGACCGTAAGACGGGTGCTCTTGTCATTCGATATCAACAAAGCTTCTAGTCCGGACTTGATTCCTGCCATTGTACTGAAGTGGTGTGCAGCGGAACTTGCTCCAGTACTTTTGCGTCTCTTCCAGATATCTTATTAATCCGGAACCTTCCCAGAAAACTGGAAATTTGCTCATGTCCAACCAACCCAAAACAAAGGATCTAAGACCGACCCTTACAACTGCAGGCCTACGAGTCTAGCTCTGCTTTCTGTTATAAGTAAGGTGAAGGAGAGGTACATAAATCGCAAGCTGCTGGACTGCTTCGAACGGCACCGCCTGATTAGCGACAGGCAGTATGATTTCCGGTACCAGCGATTCACAGGGGACCTCCTAGCTTACGTTACGCAATTGACCTATGGCCTCCCAGAAAAACTTTGCAGATGGGTGGCTGATCTTATCTCTGGCCGCAAGATATCCGTCGTAATTGACGGGTTCTCCTCTTTATCCCACAACCTCAACGCGGTTGTTCCCCAGAGATCGGTCTTAGCTCCGACACTGTACCTCTTACATATCAACGACCTCCTTTCCTGCACGATCAACCCAATCCACAGCTTCGCTGATGACAGCACTCTACATGCAGGAATTCAGAATGACAAGCCGATCTCTGCCGCCGAGCTGGAAAAAAGAAGACTAGCGACGACTTCATCTGAGACCTGGAGGTTATCACTGCTTGGGGACGCAACAATCTTGTACAGTTTAATGCTTCCACAGTACTGTACCTTGACGAACAAAAAGCCCCCTAGCGCTCATCCGGTTTCGATGGATGGCCGTGTTCTGCCAAAGACCGATTCATTTCGGCTGGTTCAGATCACCGAGAACCTGATCTGGCACGAACACATCTCGTCAATAGCGGCAGCTGCTGGGAAAAAGCAAGGCTATTTGTTTAGTGCTATGACGTTGTCATTCTATACAAGGCCCAGATAAGGCCTAGCCTCGAGTACTGCTCACACGTTTGGGGTGCTGCCGCCCCGACATTACTTATGCGCTATGCTGTCCAGAGGAGGGCTGTCCGTCTTATCGGTGACTCTTCTCTAACAGACAGTCTAGGGACCCATTCGCACCGGCGGGCCGTCGGCGATCTAGCTCTCTTCTACCGCTACACCAACGGGCTTTGCTCCTCAGAGCTTTCTTCCATGATGCAGCCGCGCGATGTGGCTGCCAGACAGACCCGCCTGACTTTGGCCTCCCATCCTAACCGTATCTAACTTCGTACATCCAGAACTGGTCGATACGACCGCTCCTTTGTCCCGAGGGTGTCGAGATTGTGGAATAATCTGCAAGAGGAAGCTTTTCCCAGTTCTATTTAGGTTTCTGCGTGCGCGGCTGCATCGATATAAAAAACATGCGTGTGTGTCGTGTGTGGATAGAAAAAGGTAGAGTTACACGAAGAAGGCCAACTAGTCCACCTTGGCGTACCACAGGGCATCAAGATAGGCGCTTCCGACAACTAGCCCTGAGGCCATTTTATTACTACGCGTTAGATCGCTGACCAACGGTATGGAGAATAAGGTAAACCTGTTACTATCGTACACTCTATCGTCGCATTCAAGCCTTTTGACTTTCTTCATACCGTCCATGTTATTTTGAAAGATTCTTAACAGCGCCGAATGGTCAAAACCTCTTTCAGGGTCGCTACCGTGAAACTTAAAATAAAAATATTTAAGGGCTCCCACTGCAGGCTTAATAGGTAGGAGACCAGATGACAGATGCGTGCCCCAGCTTACTCCTATTAAAAGTGAAATACAGGAACTATAATTTTGCGATATCAGCGAAGCCCGGCCGATTTCTGACGGAATAATCTAATGCTTTATATGTTGAATTCACCATGAGCCAATCTTGATATGGGGCTGACACGGCCTGTACCTCTAACTCTTCGTGTGCCGCCTTTCTGATTCCATGCTCTACAAAAACAAACACCACCGCATTTAGACTGCTATGGACCTTGATGGCTATTTCTCTGAAGGACCAACCCGCCACATACAAGCCCACTCTTTGCCTCTTATCAAAGTTACCATGCTGTTGAAAATGTTCTCGTCGTCTCACTTTAGGAACTACAAACTAAAGCAGATCTTCACAACGTATTGTACGCTCATCAAATGCCAAATGTAGCTTACAAAACTAAACTCCCGCCTACTTACTTTTTTGTATGAACAGACAATATCACAAAAACCACTTTATCAATATGGTTGAAGAGCTGATCGTTTTCTTTCCTAAACTTAGCAAGCATATACCTAGAAAATATTTGTAACAAATTATTACTGGGTATTGTTTGCCTAAGTCACTTAAGCTATATTTGCTAAGCCAGCGTTATTTTTTCAGAGAGAAAAGGAGCGAGGTTCTCACATATCGTATATGTTTCGACTGCCTTTTGCCGCCGGAAGTGTCTTCAGTGCAAGTATGCTGGATACGCTGCTGTATCAAGCGTTCGTCAAAGACTATGTGATCACGTTTGTAAGGTTGTTACTCGGAATAGATCAAGCTCCTGGTTCGGGGTTTCTTACGTCGGTAAGTTTGCACATAAATAATAATAATAATAATAATAATAATAATAATAATAATAATAATAATAATAATAATAATAATAATAATTTATTCATCCTGTGGATCACAAAGTGATATAGGATAAGTCAATTGAATATTAGTATAAACAGAATTGCCTACATACATAAATAACATTCAAAACATCAAATAAAACACGAAGTGTATAAACATGAAAACGAATTAAAATAACAAATTAACAAATTAAAATTGAACAATACATTAAAATAATTAAAAAAGACTATCACTCATTAAAAACTCTTCTATAGAGTAGAAAGCTTTATCAAGTAAAATTTGCCTGATTCTTTTTTTAAATAATATCAGCGGTAGTCATTTACAATCAATGGGTAGTTTGTTGAAGAGTTTTATTCCCATGTATTTGGCACTCTCCTCCGTTCTAGACAACCTATGTGCCGGCACAATACTTCTCTGTTTCTGGTATTATAAATTCCAGAATTTATAGAACTAAAATTGTTCAGGTGAGTTTTGACGTAAATCAATATATTCAATATATATACTGAAGGCAGCGTCAAAATCATCAAAGCTGTGAATAGTTCCCTGCAACTAAAGCGCCTTCCCACCTTTGCAATGGTTCTTATAGCTCTTTTTTGTAATATAAGAAGCCTTTGTAACTTGGAGGATGCTCCCCACGCTTCTATTCCATAAGTCAGAGTAGACTGGATATGTGCATGGTAAAACATTAACAATATCCACTTATCAACGATAAAACTCAGCTGGTACATGCAATAGCAAAGAGAGGTAATCTTTTGACTAACTTTCTCTATATGCGTATCCCATTTGCAGTTTTGCGATATGTGTATTCCTAAAAATTTTATATTTTCTGCTTGTTCAATGGATCTACCGCTTGATTTTATAAGGAGACTACGATCCATGTGCATATTAGAGTAGTTAAATCTCAGGAACACTGTCTTTTTGTGGTTTAAGACCAGACTGTTATTAATGAAACATTGCTCTGCACTAGCTAAGCTTGTGTTGGCATTTCTTATCACTGACTCCAGGTTTTTGCCATTAATAAGTAATGAAGTATCATCAGCATACATTACCGAGGATTTGGCGGGAAAGTCATTGACATATATTATGTATAGGAGGGGACCAAGTATGGAACCCTGTGGAACCCCTGTATGATATAGGTGCTGGTCAGACTGTGCAGTCAGTACTTCAACATAATGTTTTCTGTTGCTTAGATAACTGTGAAACCAGTCAAATGGCTTACCGATTCCATATCTATCCAATTTATCCAAAAGTATTACGTGGTCAACTAAGTCAAAAGCTTTACTCAAGTCAAGAAATATTCCTACCCACTTTTCGCCATTGTCCATTTTCAAATACAGTTCATCAAGAAAATGAGGCACAGCGTTTTTGGTTGACAAACCTTTTCTGAATCCAAACTGTAAGCTACTGAATAATTTGAAACTGTAAAAAAAATTGACAATTTGTAAGGAAGCATATTTCTCAAATACTTTCGCAAAGGGACTAATTAGGGAAATTGGCCTAAAATTACAGATGACGTGGTTATCACCAGACTTGAACAAGGGCTTAATTTTTGTAACTTTAAGTTTATCTGGAAATGTCCCCCCCTCAATGGAACAATTAATTACAAATGCTAGAGGTTGGCTAAGGAAACTAGATGACATTTTTAAAATATTTGCACTAATTTTATCTGCGCTAGTAGAGTTGGAGTTTTTAAGGTTATTTATTATTGATATTATGTCACAACTTACAGCGGCTTGAAAATAGAAAGAGTGACTGTTTCTATCTATATTATTTCCATTATTTTCTGTTCCATTACGTTCGTAGGGGCCTGAAATATCATTAAAATGCTGCATAAATTTTTCGGCAATCTCTTTTGGTTCGGTTATTATTTTATTTTCTATGTTTAACTTGATGATTTCGTGCTTAGGTGTGTTTCTGTTTTTGTTAATTACATTCCAAGCACTTTTTGTTTTATTTTTTGCATTTAGTATCATTTTGTTGTAATATAGTCGCTTAGCTTCCCTTAAAACTCTGGCATATACCTTTTTATATTTTTTATAGAACTCTAGTAGAAATACATCTCCCGTCTTAGACAAATCATATAGATAGTGAAGCTTATCTCTTGATATTAGGATACCTTTTGTTTATATGTTTTGATTATAACTGGTAATTCTATGTCAACGTAATACTGAAACGCTTGTAGGAATAAATCAAACTTCTCATTAATATCCCCAGTGGCATGATAAATATGGTCCCAGGTTTCTTGACCTAGGAGAGCTAAAAAATTGTTGATGTTGGATTTATTATACAGGTCTTGGTACTGGTAGGAAATCTGAGGTGGCTGTTCATCTTTTTGATAGTATAGAGTTAATAATTGAGCAAAATGATCGCTAACGTTATTGTTTACTACAGCAGTATCACACTTTACATCCACCCCTACACAAATATTGTGCAATTAGATCCTCGCGTAGGTTGTTTGATAACATCCAACAGACAATTTAAATCTAAAGAGTTTTTGTTAAAATTTATGTTAAAATCACAACAAAGGACAATACCACATTTTTTACATTTAATGTTTAAATATTTAAAAGGACTTCAAGTTTTTCTAAAAAAAATTTAAAATCGGCATCAGTACTTCTCTACAGAGAAACAATAACCGAGTTGCCGTTTTCGGTTATAACTTGAATTGATGTATACAAGTGAATTCTAACATATAATGAAAATGTGAAGTTGCGTGCCCACATTTGCCATTTGTACGCGACAAACATGACACATCGTTTCCCTTTGCTTTGCTTCAGTGCACGGGCTCTCATTTGCTTATGCTTAAATGAATCCAGCGGAAGAGTTTCGCTTCTCTTCGCTTCCCTTTTCCACAATGGTCGTGTACCTTAAATTCAAATATCACAAAACACTCATGTTGATTGCTCGATTTTTTCTATATTATTCATCTGACGATCTGGTCGTCAATAGGAATTTTTCTTGCGCATGTAATCTCAGTAATATCTGCGTCACACAAATAGAAACAATAACGGCCTGCCCCCGCAAGACACGGTGTTGAGTCTGTTTTGTACTAAGAAAGCATTATAATCGACCAATTCTATACTTGTCATTTTCGTCGCGACCGCAGCGTAACATGATTCATGGGCCACTTGAGAAGGGTCTGTGAACTACTTCGACACAAGCCACACGCGCTTGCTTTTGTCTCTCTCTACAAGATCAAATGCGCGATTTAAGAATAACCATGTGCTGCAATTTATACAGATCCCTACAGATCTAATACGAAGTACGATATCTGATTGGTCGGTCGGTGCTCGGTCCTCGGCATTGGCATATTGGTCTTGTCGCGTGACGTGGCTTAAAATTTGAATGCCAACAATTTTTTATTTAGGTATTTTGGGTCTTACGTTGAGTGACTAGTGACTCACTGACTGACTGTGGCTGTGTAGAAGGGTACCTAGCGGAAGACAATACATGTGGTTTACAGACTTATCAGCGTGAAACGATTCTGAAAACACACATTTGAAGAAAAAAATGAGCTGAAGGTGTCAGGTCTACCGCTGCCGGACATATTTATAGAAACACAGGGCGTTAGTCGGGGCAAGGACTATACGCGGCATTTCAGCAAGGAGGTTTACACCAGAAATGACTGGATTTGTGGATGCAACAGGAAGAATGCCCTTTTCTGCTTTCCTTGCATACTTTTTGGCGGTGACAAAGCTTGGACGGAGGTAGGTGTTACAGATTTAGTGCACCTGAGTGAAAAAATTAAGAAGCATGAAAACTCTAAAACACATCTTCATAATTCGATGGAATTGGCTTTATTGGGGACTGTTAAAATCAGAGCTCAGTTAGATTCAGCATATTGGAGAAATATACAATAGCATAATGACACCGTTACAAAAAACAGGTACGTTCTATCAAAAATAATCGATGGTATAAAATTTTGCGGAGCTCCCAAAACCCGGGAATATTTTGTGGACTGATCAATTTTTCTGCTGAGTTTGATACAACCTTAAGCGAACACATAAAAAATGCTTCAATATTCAAAGGAACTTCGAAAGAAATACAAAACGATCTACTGGATTGTATTCTTGAAGTCTGTCATGAAGAAATAATAAAACAGATTAACGGAGCCCCGTACTTGGCGATAATAGCAGATGAAACAGCGGAAAACCCAACTGGTAACAATTTTCAGAAACGTATTTAACGGCGAACCAGTAGAACATTTGTGGAATCATATGAATCGCGAAAAATGTGACACTGATACTCTCACAAGACATATTTTGAGCAACGTAGATCCATTAATAGGAAATTTCCCTAATAAACTAATTTCACAAAGCTATGATGGAGCCGCGGTAATCGGACATAATGCTGGAGTACAAACAAAAATTAAACAAAGATATCCATTTGCTATGCGCATCAGTTAAACCTGATTATGTCCCAAGCTGCTTCCGCAAATGCTCATGTTCGGGATTTGAAAGATATTCCGGGATTTTTTAATAATTCTCCTCAACGCGTAGAGGTACTGAACAAAATTGTGGGGAAAAAATTCCCCAAGGAGCAACAACTCGTTGGAATTTTAATATTCGAACAATAAATGTAGTGTTTGAGAACAGAGAATCACTCATTGAATGCATGGAAGAAATAGAAGAAAATGTCGCTAATGAAACCGTTTGCAAGGTAGCTTGCGATATTTGCTGAATGTTAAACGATTCTATTTTCGTGTTTTGGTTGACATCTTTTCATCATGTCATGCCTCACGTCGACATCTTGTTCAGTTGCAGAAGAGCAGAAGAGAAAAACCGAGCCAGCCCAAGTTAAAACGGCTAACGATAATTTTGAAAAATGTATTGTCGATGTGAGAAATAAAATTGATGACATAATAAATGAAGCCAAAAGTATTTGCTCTGAACCCCAAGGCAACAAAAGGAAACGACGTAATAATAGCAGTCACGATCACCGAGTTGCTGCATTAGAAGTATGCGACAATATAGTGAATTCTGCAAATGACAGATTTCAATTCAATGATCATTTGGTAGCCGCATCCCTTTTTCCCCGAACACTTTGGAGAATACTGTCGTAAGTTTCCTGATGACAAGATGGAAACTACCTGCTTAGCTTATCCCGAATTAGAAAAAAGTCGTTTAAAGACAGTTTTCGCTTATTTATGAGCGGAATGATTGCCGAGATTTTCATGGAACTTTGTCTCTTTTGAAATTTTTGATACAAAATAGTTTGGAGGAAACACTAAAAGAAACAAAAAAGCTATTAGAAATTATTGTTACAACTCCTATGTCAACATCAGAGGCTGAGCGAAATTTCCCAACATTGAAAAGAATCAAGACTTTTCTTCAAAATACTATGACTCAGGATCGCCTTACAGCGTTGTCGATGCTGTCCATTGAAAAGGAATTTATTATATATAAAAAATAAGTAAGTTCGGATTTGCAGAACACCTGTTTTATTTTGCCACGAGCCGCCACTGATCATGTAGGTTGATTCTATAGGTTATGTGAAATTACATTGGTAATCACTATATCTTAGCTAACTGAAGGATCATAGTTAACAACACTGTGTTGTGTTTGAGACACGATGCAGCTACAAGCAAAACTTCCCTTAAGCATCGTTACTGTATGTTGTTTAACGATAATTAAGGCACAAGGCCCAGTAAAATTATTGTATGACAGAGATTTTTCAAATCTATAATACTAAGGGTCTCTAAACGGTTCAACCATTTTTCCATATTTGCGTCTAAAGAACGTTTCCGGTTCCAACATTTTCCTATTGATTTAGCCGAACTTATATTTTATCAAAGAAAAAAGACATTTATTAAATGTGCGCAAGCTTTTGGATATGGTCTAGAACGTGGAAGTATCGAATCAATTCTCTTGGCCATTTTTTAAGCGCTGTAATTATCCAGGTTTTCGCGGCAAGCTACCACTGATCTACCAAAGAGCAGTTATATGAAGAGAAGACAGTCAGTCAAGGCGAGCAAAATTTTATAGAGATAGGAGATTACTCCAATGACATGGCGTCCACAAAATAGCTGATGATTCTCATCTAGTTGGAGATAAATGCGGTGTTGACAGGTAGAGAATCCTTTTTGGATGAATTCATTGACATCACTTACATTTATTCATAATGGGGATATTCATCATCCATTGGCACCCTACCAATATAGTTGTCATTCAGTAAAGTTATAAATCACACTTCTCGCGAAAAAGCAATTGTCAAAACCTCTGAGTTATCACATAGCTGTTCAACTTATAGGGCCCTACGCGGAATACCTCTCAACTTAGTTGAGTAATAAAAGAAGTACGTTAGCTTAAAATTCAAAAGTCGTCTAACCTAAAATTGCTTATTTGACCAATCGTCATTCTATTTGTCATAGTTGCGAGCTATCTAGACAGCCCGGCCTCAAGACGGCATGTTTATTTATTTTGCATAACTCATTCACTTAACCACCAAAAACCGTAAAAAGAGTCGAACTCCATACTGCTCAGTATAAATGTAGCGTTTTGTAAATATTTTATGGTTGCCTGGCAACACCGTTCCAGTACATCGCGAATACATCGCTGTATTTATTATTGTAAGTAATAGTCCAAGAGCCGACCGCAAGGTTTTGGTTACATAGCGTACTGATATGGAATATTGAAAACTAGACAAAACCTACGTATTTTGATCCTAAAGAGCAAACAAAGATGTTACTAGTTATTATCGTATCCATCATACCACAATGCGATGATGTAACAAAAAATTCACGATCGGCTTCCCCGACCGGCAGTTTATAAAGACATTAAAATAAATATCTTGAGTTATATATAACTACCCTTTGAACCGCATACTAATCTAGTCTAATCTAATCTAATTGAAACGAATCATCCACATTAGAATCACATAATCTTCTGGCACGATCCGCGGTTGCATTACTCAAAAATAATTTGTGAAGCAAAATCACCAGCAGCATTTGTTACGTTAATTCCTTCACCCCTTTCATCGCTGCCGGTGCTTTCTGTACAACTCGATTAAAATGATGCCGCGCTCTTAGTAACTCACCCTTCCTCTCCTAACCTCTTCCTCCTTTCCTTGTCCCTTTACCCACTGCCCGAACTTCCGGTTCATATCCACACCTAACCCCGTAACTTTGTTACTTCCCAGAGAAGTTGGGGAACTTTCAGACATCTTGTTATATCGGTGAATGAGGAGGAAGTACGGATACGCCGCCATGGATGAACATGTAAACATGCCAAAGTGGATATGTGGGAGGCTGCTGACAAAATTCTATTCATTGATTATTACCCCTATTCAATCTAAACCACGATGAAACGTACTAGAGTTGCTCGTGTAAACGATTCTGTGAGGCGCGCAGTTTCAAATTGTTCAATGTCGATTCTGCTAAGCCGCAATATATTTAGTAAATGCAAAATTAGTGGTTTATTTGAAAAAAATATCCCCATCAGATTTTTTCATGACTATCATCATGGAGATACAACCTGTCGTTAACAAGGGAAGTAGTCACACTTCATTATTTTTACTGTAGTTAGCTTTACATTTTGTTTTCTTCTCGGGGTATATTTTTTCAAATCAGGGATATTTTTCTGACTATTTCCCTCGTCTTAATTTCTACCAATCATAAACGCGCAATTGTGAATAACAAATGATTTCTAGATGGAAAAGTTCTATGACAGCACCTGTCAGTAGTTTTTTTGAGTTCACCCGCATCAGAACTTGACAGCTATTGTCACCAAAAATTATAATACCTTTGATAACAAGTACTTATGGTCTCCTAGGACACCAGTAATCTGATACTCATATCTTCTCAAATACCATTCGGGCATACATTTTTTTCCTGTGAAAAAACAAAATGCAAAGTAACATTTTTTAACAAAAAACATCCGTGCAGGTGCAAAAATCCTCTTCTTTGACTCGGATTTCCTTTACCCCCAGCACTCATGCTTCTTGTTAAAATATTGCTTAACAACGTGTTTTTCGATTTTCTTCGGAAAAATTAGATGCCCTTATGATATTACTTATTATAATTTAAAAGTTGCTATTGAGGTATTTCCCGGTAAAACGTCTACTACTTTGGTCTTGTTATTGTAGTGGCTATAGAATATTACCAACAATATGTCATCTTCGTCCAAAACCATTAAACTGTACATTTTTTATTTATTTTGTATGAAATACCCCCGTTAGAAACACCTGCTACTTCAAAAAAAAAACACCTACGGTCCTTTTTAGCAATATTCCGCCTGCAACAAAAACTAACATCATGTTGTTACTTAGAGGTTTACTTCAGGTGGTTATTAAATAATAAACATTCAGCAAGATACCAAGCACGAACATATCTAAAAACGGAGGAAATTACTAATCGGATAAACTGCTTATTAGGTTAAATTACTTGTTAGATAGGTTTATCACCCCGTGTTATTGCGACACCCCATTGCGGTTTTGTGGCGGGCGGCTATCGCTACCATTTATGGTCGCATTCGATTCCCTACTTCAGAAATGAATGATACAACTGTCCAGTGGAAATGTCTAGCTTAGCAGCGGTTCCAAATCGAGATAACAAAAATAAAGGCACTCGAGGATTGATGATTGCGTCAAGTGAATTAAAAATACAACAAACATTCCATTGTCTTGTCGATTTGATTGATTTTTCGATTTAAAAATGCACAAATACATACAGGCGCGTGTATTTGATACGAATTGTATATACAGGGTGTCCCAAGAGGTAAGGGACAAATTTTTTCTACGTGTTCCTCAGGTCAATTCGAGTGGAAAAAGTCCTATGAACATTGGTCCGCAAATGCTTCCTTATCGAGATAATGATTTTATTATTTTTAGGGTGATAATGGTGGGAAAACCACAATATTGTTGGAAAATTACTTTTATTTAACACAAAATTACTAGGTACCATAAAAATTAACTATTCACAATAGTTGTTCAAAGTGTCCACCTTCACACTGTAAACATAGTCTAGCCCGTTTAAGAATATGACTGGTGGCTTTCCCAATAACAAGACGAGTACTTATTATGTCGTCAGCGACATCAGTAATTTTACGGAGCAGTTCAGCCCTGGTATGCGATTTCATACACTAAAGACTTCATATGTCCCCACAAATAATAATCCAAGCGATTTAAATCGGGCTAGCGGGGTGGCCAGGAAACTGCGCCCCCTCGTCCAATCTAACACAGGCACTTCTTCTCGTAAGAATTGAAGATAAACTTCAGATGTCAACCGACCGTCAAACACACAAGGGCAACTAAGTGATCCTCCAACAAACCGCACCAGACATTAACAAAAAAACCGTGTTGGAAATTCCGTTCGATAGTTGTGTGGGGATTTTCAAGCTGCCAAGAAAAAAAGGCATACGTGTTACAGTAGCATTTGGAACCGATCCGGTTGCTTTCACATGTGCCAAAATTCTTCCAAATACCCTTCTGTCAGGTATTCTTAGATTTGGATACCGGCGGCGGTATCCGTTCACTGATGCTCTGCCATTTCCGTTGCAATATCCGTAGGCAAACATCATGTCACCGTATTCCTCACTTGTAAAAACAAACACCAGAGTAATTTCTGCAAAGTTCAACAAACTGACACAACTACTCCGTCAACAAACAAACAAACACCAGTGTATTAATCGGGCAGTACAACGTGAATGTGGACTTTAATTATTGTAAACAGGTGTTTTCATACGAACAGTATTAAATTTTTTGTTAATTAGAAGCAATTTTCCAACAATATTGTGGTTTTCACCCACTAAAAATACAAAAATCATATCTCGATTAGGAAGCATTTGCGGACCCATGTTCATACGACTTTTTCGACCTGAGAAACACGCAGAAAAATGCCACCAGTGTGCGGAAGGACCTCAGTGGAGGTTGACCACTCAGAACGTTTGCGTAACCTTCTAAATGTGACATTATTTTTTCATGTACGAAGATGAAAATAACGAAGGACGACATGTGGATCCGCACCTACGGGCGACTCTACCAGAAACTATGTTCAACGACTTGCGAGATTCCCATAGGAATCTATCGCACGCAGGACACGTCTGTTTCGGACTCTTCTCATGTGAGTATGAGCGCAGCTTCGTCTCCATGGTCGTCGTGCGTACGCGTGCCATCGGTGAGTACAAACGGCAGCTGTTTCTTGACAACTTACAGCTGATATCTAACAGCATCATGCATCGAGTGCTCTTTCGTACACCAACTATCTTTTGCTCATGCTTTTCAACAATATCGTTTTTTGATTAATTACTCATTACAAATGACAGCTGACTTAACAGTGATGGATTACTGCATTTACACCTTGGCCTTAAATTAACTTACTGTAAAACGTTTCAGTTAGGGCTGATGCACACCGGAGGCAACAGAGAAAAGTATTTATTTTCTGGCAACGTAGATTCTATGACAAAACTCTATTCACATGGTTTTGCTGTCGCTTTTAACGAAATCGAAATGACGGGTCCAATATGGATATCAAATTCGAGTTTTGTATGTGCTTGGTATTACAGATAACGAGTTTGGTATGGTCAGTCTTCCAGCATTAACTTTATTTTTTACTTGTGGACGCCATATAGAATTTTTGCGCAGAGGAATAAAGGTTTTAATTCTGATTTCATATTTATAATATGTTGACATTGCCAAACTTTCATTATTCCAGAAACACAGGAGTTTCTAGGTAGTCCTTCAAATTATTAGATTTCATTTGCCTTGTATACCAGACCAGACCTCAGTTGAGATTGCAAGACTGAGAAGAAGAGAAATAAATCGAGCAGTGAACAATGTACAGAAAAAAGTCAGGCTTTGCGTACAAAATAACGGACATTTTGAATATCTGCTATTATTTACCTCTGCTTATTTATTGTTATTACCATCAATAAAATTTTGTTTTTTGTTCAGGTTTCGCCATACCTTTTTATTTCCTTATAATTTTCATCCAACAACGAATTGCCAGCTAAGGAAATCACTGAAATTAGCATTGAAAAGTCCATTTAAATGTAACAAAATTTCAATATAGCGTCCGTATGAAAAAAAATTTAATGATAGAAGTCGAATTGAACATTTTTTCTACGTCATCTTGTAGAGGAGAATAAGTAACAATGACAATATGCAATTTATTTTGAATTCCCATCTCGAATAAAGTCGGGAAACAATAAAAGTGATTTTAGGATAAATCTGGTATGTGGAACAGATGACTATCTGATAATTTCAAAGCTAAGTAACTAAGGTTTGGCAATATCAAAGCGTGACGTATTATATATTTTTGTTGGTACGTTGGTACCTGTCACCTTGAAGTATAACCATTAGTATATCGTGGACGGAGAAGCATTTATTTCTCTGTAGCACACTGAAATTCCTGGCGACACGGCTTATGCCACAACATATCGACGCAGTCTCATCTGCAACCGAAAAAGGAAAATTCTGGGATCTACTGGAAAGAGGAGTCCGCATGCAAACGGATATCTCAGAGGATTTCTCTCGTGAATATGCGCTGCTGTGATGGAAAGCTTCTTCGATGCCCTCTGCTGCCGTCACCCAGTGTGCACTAGCTCTTATCGAGATACAAACAATAAATTGGCATTTACTACTGCTACTACTACTACTACTACTACGACGACGACGACTAATACGACTACAAGTCTGGTTAGGTTTAGATTATTACTGACCTACTAATATATAGAACCGACATTATCTTCCATCACTATTCCGAGATCTACAATCGTCGTTATTTTTTCGACAATTCATACAAAAATAAATTTTATGAGACTCCTGGATTTTTATCTCCAGTAATCACTAAACAGCAGACTGCTATTAGAAAATTTGCTTAATGACTGATCCGCCAAATGGATGTTTCCCAATGATCCTGCGTAGAATAAGGTCAATCCCTATTATTTCAATATAATGAAACAGTTACAGGTTAACAGGTTCCAAAATGGAAGAGAGCAGCATAACGCATCATATGCCATTACCAACGTATTTGTGTACTCGTGCGCGGATTTCAACGCGCGTAATAGCGACGCCTAGATTAGTGGTGTAATATGAACTGCCACCTTAAAGAGGGACGCACACAACTAGTTCAATTCATATTTACAGCCTGTCATGAGTTTAGTTTTGATTCTCACAAGGTCGTATGTAGGAATGATAATTATGAAAAAGGATGTTACAGGAAATGTTCGAATTAAAAAATGACAACAATGTAGTTAATAAAAGAACCGTCATAACAGATTCAGGTATTATATACTATAACATAATTAATTCCATGAAAGCAAAGTAACAACCACCACATAATATTATCAGCAACAAAAATGCAAAACATCAAACATAACAAAAATGTATACAATTTAAGAAACACCTCTCTCCTTTTCAGCAGTCTGTGTCTAGTTAAATCCTCGTAACAACCTTTCATCGTCATATTGATAAGTTTCAGTCTAAATGATAATATCTAAGCTGTGCATCGCGTTATTATCTGATCATCACAGATTCTAACTAAAAGGGTTAGTTTGCCATAATAAACGTAACAGGAAGCAGTGTTTCTTTATACCCCAAATTAAAACGAAAAATTAAAAGTAATAATAGGCCTTTATTTTACCTGTCGAGAAAGGGCTCTCACCAGGCATCAAGTGGAAAAGTTCTGACTTTAAGGCAGCTTTCGCAGGGGTATGATAGTTATTTTAGGTAAGACAAAAAATCAATTTCGACCTGACAATAGACTTTTGATACTGCCTCACAAGCTAAGCAGCTAGGAAAACTTACAGGTTTTACGGACAACGACTTCTGTTTTTATAAAGTTACAAATCACACTTTTCGCGGATGAAGGGCCAACCTGACGAAAATTGCTTAAAAAAGATTTAGCTTAGGATCAAAAGAGTTGTCAATTCTAAATTATTATTTTTTTTCGAAACTCATACCGTCATACACCTAAGAGTGCCGCCTTAAATAATGGGAAGTATCAAAGTAAACGTGAACGACGGCAACTCAGTCCTTCCCGCCCAGCAGTCTGTGAATTGGTAGACCGAAGGACGACGCGCGGACCTCAGTGTACCCGCTGGGTGGTAGCACTTAGCTAGTCAGGGTTGTATTCTGACGAAATTTCTTTGGATCACGTGCTCGTGACGTCAAAGCTTGAAGTATAAAAGTAAGATCAGAAAACGCGCGTCAGATGCGACGTTGCTCAACCTTCGCGTTTAAAATACACAGAATTAATATAAAGCTCCGTGATTTAGGGAGAGTAAGGAAGAGGTTATTACGTAATCTTTTTTTCTTATTCAGCGTTCTTGTCGGAATTCGCGAAGCTGGAAACGTTTTATCAATATTTCTAGTTATAAAAACAATTTAGTTAGAATTTAATAGAATTACAAGAAAGAAGCAGTGCAGTGTATTGTGGCAATGTAGATTTTCATTCTGTTTCTACTGGTTTTGTGATCACTGGTCTGTTGCTCTATGATTCTAAACTTATTCATGTATTCACCGGTTTTGTGTAATTATAGCACAAATCTTACTGAAACTTTTCCTGGAACGGTTTTGAAATTTTGGGATGGATTTACTTCAAATAGAAAATTAAGCAACTTGTCATGACAGCTAGGCGTCAGTTCTGTTAAATTACCACGATTTACTTTAGTGAGTACAAAAATTCTTTATTTTCCAAACGCTGTTACTTGCTGTTGATGTCAACAGTGACATAACGGTCCGCTTAACGATTCGATATTTTTCTCGTACTAAGAGCTCCCTAATACTTTCCGTTTACATTGAAATGCGCGTCAGTTGGCGTCGACGTAAGTGTTGAAATACTCTGCGTCTAGTGGCGTCGTGGAAACCAAATATTAATTCTGGGTACTTTGTAAGCGAGCGTTAGATTCACGCACGTCATCTAAACTTGCTTTTAACCATACAAGATCTGACGTACTGAATGCGAAAATCAAGGGTTCGCCATTTGATAGTCTACCAAGGTTAACAATTGTTTTAAAGTGAACTGAGTATTATACGGGGAGGTTTAAACTTAAGACGCATGTCAAGCTCAAAAATAAAATTTTCAGTCGAGTTTTTCAGCATTGAATATACCCATTATAGCCTTTTTCAGACATTAAATCGCTTGCAGCTCAATAACGGTCAACTTTTTCTGGAGCGGATACCTTTTCTTTTTGTTAAAAGTAGAGTCCACCTTGGTGGTCAGGCAACAACACTTTTTTTGTAGTCCTTCACTTTTCTCCCCCTCTACTCAAGTTGCGGTAATTTTCCATCAATTCAGAATTTCTTTCATCATTTTCGCATATATTTGTATGTTTTCTTAAGCTGTCTGATAGTAACTGTTTTTCTACCTTTTTTTTGAGAAAGCAATTGCGTTCTAAATCTTGCCAATTCAATAACTTTGCTTAACATCTGCATCTCTTGTTTTTGATCTCCTGAAGGCTTCTCCTGTAGCATTTTATTCAATGAGTTCATGGTTAACAGTTGCGGAGCATACCTTACAGGAGAGCTAGGACTAGAATCAGACTCATACAGTATTGTCTTCTCTAATATTATTTATGTTAAGGGGCATCCAACATCTAGTTGGATAATGCGATGTTTGTTAGACAGTTTTAGCTTACAAGTTCCTTAAATTTTCTTCTAATGCTGCAAATGATATTATGATTACTGATTATGATATTAGTTACCCAATGATATCTACCCAATGCTGAAGGAGTGTGTTTGACACCGAGAACCAAATTTGTCTGAAGGCTTGAGCTCAATATGTACGAGAGAGAAGTGTGTATAGATACATATATTAGAAGAAGATAGAAGCCGCCACGTTGGCTAGCAATCTGCTGCGTTGCTAATATATCACACCAATTTCTTGAATTAAGATGCATGTTGAAAATATGCGTTAGTTTATTCTCTACGCCCAAATAATGGTTTTACTTTGAGCGTACACATTTCTGAATTGTGGATTGTGTCGACTCTGTTTAGGATCAATTCCGTATCGGGGCTCCATTTTACGTCGAAATGAAAGTTCAGGATCGCAACAATTTGTGCAACAATGCATTATTGGTTCGCTTAACACCTCATCTGGTGCATTCCAAGGCGAGGTTTTCACCTCTATGATCATTGATCATTAACAATTTTGGTCAGTACCCATCTAGCGCTCGT